TGAGGCTCCGGGCCCCGGGTCCCAGCGCCGCAACCGCCCCTCAGGCCCAGCCGAAAAGAGTGAGGGGCCCCGCTCTTCTGCCGCAGGCCCCACGTCGCCCCATTGTTTTCCCCACCGGGTACTCACCACCCGGTTGTCCCGTTTCCCCATGGTGCTGGACTGAGCGCACAGTCAGACGCCGAGGGAGANACCGGACCTTCTGGCGACTCCCCCGCCCCGCCCAGAGAGCGGCGCCGCGCCGACCGGGCGGCCGCGTCTGGCCACAGCGCCACCTATCGGCGCGGAGGAGAGGCCAACGCGGGCGATCCCCCGCGGCCCCCAGGGTTCACCCGCGGATTCCAGTTCTTTACCACCCACCAGGGACGCGCGGGCACTGCTCTTCCGCGCAGCAGCCCTCACCAAGACAGCTCCGCTCGGTTTGGCCTTGGATTGTCTTGCTCCCTTCCATTTCCGATGCGCTGAAATTCTCATTCTAGGGGATTCAAAAATTATTGCAACTTTTTGTGTGTGCTTAATATAATGCAAGCGCTGGGAATAAAGTGATGACCAGGACAGAGGTGGTCCTTCACAGAGTGCTTCAGGTGGTGAGGGAGAAGACAGTACTGTCGTAGATGTTGCTAATGAAATCGCCCTTTAAGTTCAAGTCCATTTATCCATCACCCACACATTCATTTCACACTAATTTTTGAACATCTACTTTGTGTGATGCACTAACTGGCGACTGGAAGCTGGATCTGGGTCAGGACACAAAGATGATTAAGACACATCCCTACCTTCAAGGGGGCTGTTTATGACGTGGTATAGAAGATAAGCCTACACAGGGCCAAATTTACTGCATGGCCAGTCAGAATATCGTCAGTACAGAATTAAAACTTAAAGGGAGGTGATGGGGGCTCCAGAGGAGTTATATTTATTAAGTATTTACAGACCTGGATAAAGCTAGGCCTTCTGTGCCCATCTTAGCAGTGTCATTAGGAAGTAATTAAAAATTAACCTGGATCTTTTCTGGACTCTTGGAAAATGGCAAAATGGGCTCACACATTACATACAAGAAAAATTCTTAAAGTCCTCTTTCCCAGTTTTCTCCTTCCCTTCTTTTCTCATACTGCACAACAGATGCTCCCAACTCCCATTTTCTGTTTCAAAACTTTCTTAAACTCTCTCAAATGCAGCTGTTAGTGGTTCTACTCCCCAGTAAACATTCATTCTCCTGAGTAACCCTCTTCTTTTTACTGCTAATTAGACCTCCGCAGTCATTCGTTTCATCTCCGCTTCCATGACTTAAGCTGGGGGACTCTCTAACCAAAGACAGTTTTTCTGTGTGCACAACAGTAAGAGGAGAATCTGTGAATATTACCTTTTTTTCATGGCTCAGTTATAGTTTTCTTTTTAATATTCCAGGAACTTTACAGATATTACAGCAAACACTCGATTTTTCTGACCTCGATTTAAAGGACTTTGGATTTGATGGACATTTTGGCCCTGTATGTCATATACGAAAATTAACACCCTGTTAATTTTAAAATGCTTTTAACCAAGATTTGCTTATAATTAAATTAACAGGTTATTTTTTTATTATTAATTTACTGTGATTTTTAACAAATTTTAGCAAATAGGCCATATGTTGGAAAAAACACTGTAGTAATTTTGCCGACATAAATAAATGTTACGTATCTACAACTATAGTCTACATATTTAAATCAGAGAGTCACCACTTGAGAACAACGTTTCTCGAATGATTATCACGTGACCACACCGCATCCGTCATGATCATTGGTCCTGTTGTTGCGTGGGGTGACCTTCTGCAGCAGTTTCAAGGAGTGCTGACCGATGTTCCCACGTGCTCTAGGCCCCCCCAGCTGTGTGCACTTGTTTACTCTCAGTGACTGGTGAATGCATGCATTTATTAAATCTACTCAGTGTAAATTTAAAATTACTGTAATACATATAAAAAACTTTTCTGTGAAATTAAACTTTTCATTCATAATTTTTTGTTTTTGTTCTTTCTTGTTAATCCCCACCTGAGGATATTCTTCCCATTGCTCTTCAGAGAGCGTGGAAGGGAGGGAAGAGGGATGGAGAGAGAGAGAGATATGCACTGACTGCTTCCCCCCTCGGGAACCTTGGGGTGGGGAGGGAACCCACAACTCAGGCTGCCCTTAACCAGGAATCAAACCTACAACCCTCAGGTGCACCAGCCCACGCTCTAACCACTTAGGCACATTGGCTAGGGCCATACATATTTCATTTTAATTACACCAAGTGTCTACATAAGTAAAAACAGGTAAACTAACTAATTTGTCAATCTTTTAACATACGCATTTGGAAAACCTGCTTAATTATGTAACTGACTTTCGGCTTTAATGCATACCCACCCCCTGGCCCGAATTAGTCCGTTATATTGAGGTTTTACTGTATTTCCAACACTTCAACATAAGCTTGAAAATACCTATGGCAGAATATGGTGTTTTTCCTCGTTAGCTCTGTCTTACCTTTCACTTCCTTTGGCTGATTATACAGAATACAGAGGTTTTTAAAACATATACTAATGCCGTAAGGCTACAGAAGGGTTTTTTGTTTTCTGTAGATGTCTCCCCCTCTGGCAATGTACACATCCTCCCAGATGGTGCATGGATCCTAGGGGAGACAAAGAAGCAGGAAAATGACCGAGAAGTATGTAGAAATAATGAAGAAGAATGCTAAATCTATTGGGAGCTCCTCTGAGTGGATTCCATAAAGACCGGATCAGTTCTAGCCTTCTTGGGATGTAACTCACAGTGACTCAACGAGAAGAATAAAAAATGCTTTACACATGCTCTATACATGTGTGAACACATTTCCCTTCTAGCTTGGACCTACATGCCTTCCCAAATGTTCTAGGCATAACCAAGAGATTACATTCCATTTTTCAGATAAGAAAAACTGAGGCTAAAGGAAACCAAATAATTTGCCCCAGTTCCCATAGCTAGAAAGTTGAGAAGCTGGGAATTCCAATGCACGTGTGGCAAACTTGAAAGCATGTGCTTTCCTTACAACATCACACTGGCTTTGGAGGGGTGAAGGAGAATTGAGAACTGGCATTGCAGGTGAACTGTGAAAGTGGGCAGAATTCCCACAGAGGACCTGAGGGGGAAGGACATTCCAAACAGAGGCAACAGCCTGAGTAAAAGGAAAGGTGATGGGGTGAGATGTGGCAGCACAGACCACGTGCGGTACAGGGGAAAGAAGGCTGGAAAGGTACATTGGAGCTGGAGACCAAGGGCCTTGAATGCCAAGGGAAGAAGTTTTAATTTACTCTGCACGCAAAGCTTCTTGAACAGGGAGTAACATGAGCATTGATAAAAGGCAAAGCTTTAAATAGTGACAATAATAGTAATAATAATAATAAAGGAGGGGGAGGGGTTTTTAACCTGAAGAGCATTCAAAGATTTTAACTCAAATGGCATCTTTAACATAAAAGATGAACTTGGGTGTGCATCCACATTTAATAATGTAGTTGGCTGAATTTCACATACTTTTCATTGTTGTTGTATGGGTATTTAAAAAATTTAACAATAGTGAGAAACACAGAAACCCAATCCACAAAGCCAAGTGTCTGTCCTTTGACTGGGCACATCCCTAGACTGGAGATGGAAGCATAGCTCTTTCATGTTTGAAGACAATAGCCATTTTCATCATACAACTATATTAACTAAGGGAGCAAAAGACAGGAAACAAGTTAAATTTCCATCACAAGGAAACTGCTTAAATAAAGTATGGTACAACTTTGCAATGACAAACTATCCAGGTATTTAGAAAGTGATGTATAACTGTATGTGTTGATATAAAAAAAATGACCACTATATATTAAGAGAGATAATTGTAGAACACTAAATAGAATCTGAGAGCATGTGCATCAGCAATAGAATATCTTGGTTAAACTATATGAAACTGTTAATATTCAGCACTCTCTAACCTATACGAATGGCAATTTCATACGGTTCAAATAATTATATATATACATGCTTGAATATGTCCAGAAAATTTTCTGAAAAGTTTACACAATAAACCCTTAGTGCTGGTTACTTCCTAGTAGTACTAGTAGGCTGAGGGGGTGGGGCATAGGAATTTTTATTTTCACCTGTATCCCCTTCTTTTCTGATTTGATTTTTATGAAAGATTGCTGAGCTAATCAACTCCCCTTTCTCTGATTTCACACTCACCATGTAACTTCTGGATGTAATTTTCCCTACACAGAGAAAAAACAATGACTGGTAAACATGATTACCTTGTGCTCTTGACAGGCATATTTGTCACTGTAAAAGACATAGAGAGGATTTTTTTAAAAACAGAATTTGAATTATGAAAACTAAGTAACGATTCACTTCAATAAATCCCTGGTTCATACTACTAATGAACCAAGGCAGTGGAAGTTACCAAGTAAAATGACTCAGAAAGGAAAATTCCTGATATTCATGAGAGCTTCAAGTGAATCAATGTGCAATAGTTTCACTATAATTCTCCCCTTGTTCCATCCCTACTGAGGTGACTCACAAGCTGTAAAAGTTTTTGGCCACTTATTTCAGGTTGGCTTTTGTTAGCATTGAAAGAGAATGCCTTTAATTAAAAAACACACACACCACACACACAGCTCTATTGAAGTACAGTTTACATATAATAAAATTTACCAGTTTAAAATGTACAGTTTGATGAGTTTCGACAAATATATATAATCAAGATATAGAATATTTTCATTTTTCTAAAAAATTCCCTTATATCTCTTTGCAGTTAGCCCCCTTCCCTGTCTTCTAGTCCCTGGAAACTACTGATCTGTTTCTTGTCACTATGGTTTTGCTTTTTCTAGAATTTCATATAAGTGGAATCAAATAGGAGTAGCCTTTTGTGTCTGACTTCTTTCACTTACAATACTTTTGAGATTCACTCATGTTGTGTATATCAACAGTTGTTCCCTTTTATTGCTAAGTAGTAGTCTGTTGTATTTGTAAATAACAATTTTCTTATTTGTTGACTTTTTGATGGACATTTGGATTGTTTCCAGTTTTTCGCCTATTATGAATAAAGCTGCTTTGAACATTCATATATGTGTTCCTGTATACATGTTACCATGTCTTTCAAGATAAATACCTAGAATATATTTACACTGAATTGTAAATACATTGAACTGTAGATCATTGAATTGAATTGTAAGTATATGTTTAACTCCCCA